GAGAGAGAGAGAGAGAGATTTCAAATGCTACTCAGTTATTCCCAGATCACTGAGTAGGAAGAGGATATTCGAAAAGAAAAGAAAAAGAAAAAAATGGAGCATTATTCTGCTAAGAGCTTTACATTAATTATTTCAATAACCAGAAAAATAGTCTTGCAGATACTTTTCTCCAGTTTGTACATGAAAAATCAATACTTGGAATGCTCATAAAGTTTAAACATCAGTCAGCACATTGTATAAAATTCAAAGCCAAGAAAATTGCTTTAGGTTCCAACTCTGAATGTTTCTAACAAGATGATAATCTGAAATATCCATAAAGAGGACTACAGAAGTATACCCAGTTGATGAAGTCTCTGTAGATTAATGAATCTTTATAATTGCAAATAGAGAGGATGAGAGTTCAACTGGAATACAAACTCACAAGGATGTAAAAATATATGTAGGTAAGAAAGGATAAGCATCTAACAATGAAGGGGTTGATGTAGAGAGAAAACCCAAACAGGCCCAGGACAGCCATTCTACTTGGAAAAGCCAAAACAGGTTAGTTCCCTTTAAGGACTGGAGTAAACCCATTTTATTAGAAGAGATTGGAAACAAACTTCAGAACCACTGTATATGTGTTGCTTATAATTTACTACACCTATATCCATGTAAAGCCACTGTTTGGTAACTTTATAAAGAAGCTAAGTAAAAGTCAGACGTGGTTATAAGCACATGCCTGTAATCCCAGCACTCTAGAAGGTTGAGGCAGAAGTATTGCCTGTCCTTTGCAAGACCCTGTCTCAAAACAAAAGCTAAGGGCTAGGAATGTAGCTCAGTGGGAGATCCTGGGTTCAACCTTCTCTAACCACCCAACAAAGGTAAAGTAAGTATTTAATAACTATGTATATATAACTATATAATATGCTTTATGAAATCATCAATACAATCCTAATAAGCTATATATGAATAACCCTAAGTATATAAATGATTGGGGAGGTTAAGTAACTTACCCAAATTTACACAATCCTGTACAAAAAGGACACTCACACAGAGTCACACACAGCTAGTGATGGGGTACAGTGAGACAAACGCATCATTAAGCAATGGTGTTGGAAACATCAGAGTGCACGTACATAAACCAAGATGGCTATGATATTACTAGGTGCTATCTGATGGGACCATCTTTGGATATGCTGTGTCTGAAATGGACTAAAATGTCATTATGATACATGTATGGATGTGTATGTATATCTACACATATATGTATATCCCTTCTATAATCCCCTCTGCTTGAACATCATTTCTATGATTAGGTTGCTAATCCGTTGACTCTGACTTAATGAAAAGGGAGATTATCCAAGATGGGAATGACCTAATCAGGTGAGTCTTTTAAAGACTCTGATGTGTCAGAGAGAAATGTGAAGTAAACCACCATACTGTGGAAAGGACCACAATAGAGAAGGGAAAGGGTGTGAGAGTGGCCTCTGGGAATAAAGAACAGTAGCCAGGTGACAGCAAGACTGTGGGCTTGCTTCTTAGTCATATGATTGCAAGGAAATGAACTCTGGTAATAGCCTGATGTGTTAGTCAGGTTTTTGTGGCTGTGATGAAGTACCTGAGAAAATTACTTAAAAGAAACTTCATACCCTCAGAGGTTTCAATCTGCGGTCACTGGGCCCTGTTGCTTTGGACTTGTGTAGGCACAGATCATGGTAGTAGAAGCACGTAGTGGGGGAGTCTGTTCATCTCATGGTGGCTGGGAAGCAGGAGAGAGGGGAGGGGTAGGGTCCCAATATCCCCTTCAAAGCCATATTTCCGATGACTTAATTTCCTCAAAGTAGACCCTACCTTTTAAAGGTTCAACCACCTCTCAATAGTGCCACAGGTTAAAGATAAAACCTTTAGCATATGGGCTGTTAGAGGAACAATGAAGACATAAACTCTAATACCTGAGGAAGCTTGGAAATGGATCTATACTTTACAGAGTCTCCATGTGCGTATGAAGTCAGCAGATATCTTTATTTCAGCCTCAGGAGACCCTCAGCAGAAGAATTAACTAAAACATTCCAAAGTTCAAGTTCACAGATATTAAGGTAGTATATTTGTATGATTTAGGCCACTAGGATTGTGGCAATTTCTGTGTTTAACAACAGGAAACAAATTAAAAATATATAATTCCTTAATTTTTTAAACTTTTGTTTTGTTTGTGGTACCAGGGATTTAACCCAGGGTTTTTGTACTGAGATAAATTCCCAGCCCTGTTATGACTGGCCTGAATGATACCTTTGTAAGCAAATAGGTTGCTTTCAGCAAACACACTATTCTCAGTAAACAAGACAGACAGCCATAAAGAAAAATTAAGGAGAGTATACAGTCTACCCAGTGCCGAGAAGTCCGGTGATTGTCTGACCATTTTTGGACCCTTGGTGATAATATTCCTTATGATCATAACCCCCGTTTCAAGACCTACATAAGCTTAACTCCCTTCCCAGCTAACAGCTGGTCTCTGTCTCTCTCTGTCTTTGTCTTGATGTCAGCCCACCACAAACGGATGTAATAAATTCAGCTTTTCCCAATTAGCCACTGAAATCTGCACCCCGCCATTTCAGTCTTTGTTCTCAGGAATAAAGCTTTTTTTCCCCACAAAGCCTGTCTCCAGGTAACCTCACATGAGATGTTTATAACAATGCCTTTTGTATTTATTTTGGAGACAGGGTCTTGCTAAGTCATGAAATTGTTCAGGTTGGGCTTAAATTTGATATCTTCCCACCTCAACCTCCACAGTGCTAAGATTACAGATGTATGCCACAACCCACTTTACTTTTTATTTATTTTTTGAGCGTAGGGTCTCACTATGCTGCCAAGGCTGTCTTTGAACTCCTGGGTTTAAGTCATCTTTCTGCCTCAGCCTCTTGAGGAGCTATCTGGGACTACAGGAATATGTCACTGTGCCTCACTTACTTACTTTTTTTTAATAAATGGAAAACCTTGATTTTCTTTTTCTGATTATAAAAGTAAATGATTACATATTCATAGTAAAAATATCAGGAATATACACTAAATATTTTAATTCTAGATTTAATCACTATTAATGGAAAGTAGGTTTTTTCTATTGTTTTTATGATATTATGTACAGTTTTTTGTTACAGTTATAAATGTGTATCTTTTGATAGTTTCGTGCACATATTTCAAAAACAATATTAATAGGCATCACTTTCCAAAGCATATCTTATACATTCTACAAGACATTAACCAATTTTACAGCAATAAAAGTATGTATAAGCTTGAGAAACATGGCTTATTATATTCTCTTCCCGATAATCACATAAAAACTTGAGAAAATCTAGCAACAAAGAAAAAAATTAATTTTGGTATTATTTACATGAAGTTATTTTCTACCAGGGGACAGATTCTTCCTCTTGCAAATCTTCTCATTAATATTGATTCAAAGCATGTACAGATTTAAATGACCCTTAAATGAAACATTGTAAAATATGTAACTTTCAGTGAGGACCGTTGTTTTCCTAGGCCTTGTAATTTTTAATTAAATTATGTAGAAACCCATTTTTTGTATTAACTAGTGCATAATTATTTCCCATGGTATAATCAACAATGAACTAACCTGGGCATGGTGACGCACACCTGTAATCCCAGCACTCAGGGGGTTGAGGCAGGAGGATCGCTGTGAATTCTAGACCAGCCTGAGCTACATAGTGAGTTTCAGGTCAGTCTCAACTACACAGTGAGACCCTGTCTCAAAAAACAAAAGACAAACAAAAAATGAAATAAACGTTTTAAAACTACTTTTTAAAAAATCAAGAGTTATGCAAAGGGTTGAGGGTGTAACTCAATGGTAAATTCTATATATCAAGGAACCAGAATTTATAGTACCATCATAAATATTATTTATAGTTTTATATTTTTAGCACTGCATTGTACTGGGATTTTTCATGAACTAGCAAATAAATGGAGGAAAGTAAAAAAGGTGTTAGGTTCATGTTGGCATTTTAAATAAATGGAATTCGATATTTTTGTGTAGATATGGAAGGCAAAACCATCATCAACATGGTTGAAAGAGGCAATAAGTTTTTGGATCACAAAAAATGTAATTCCAAAAAGTTGACATCAATCCATAATGAACTGGTCTTTTTAGCATACTGTCACCAACGATAGATAAATCAGTGCAAGGATGAATGCTTCTAATGTCTCCTACTGTAAAGACTAACGCATCTTCTGCCAAAATAGTGTAGCAATAAAATCCTTACAATACGGGTCAGTCTGGAAAGATTAAGCTTAAGAAAATGAGTTGTTCTTTTAGAAGGGCCAATTTTGAACATCAGTGTGCTCTGGGAAACAAGGCTGTGCCAGTCGAACTTTCGACAAAAAATCTTTGGAGTTCTTGTGCACAACCTATTTTAACACTGCAACATACAAATCATAGGATTTAGTGGGCTGTGTTGTCTTATGCGGTTCTTTCGGGCTAGAATACTTAACATCATCACCTTACCCTTAGTAGGTCACTGCCCGAAGTAGTTTACTGTCTTGTTTTACAGATGAGGGTCATAATCACACTGTTGATGAAACAATAGGCTCTGGACTGAAACTAGCGCCTGTGTATTTCTTTCTTTTTCTGGTATCGGGAATCGATCTCATGACTGTGCTTGCGAGGCAGGTGCAGCTCCACTGAGCTAAAACCCTAGCCCTGGAGACTGTATTTTAAAGGCACTGCCCTAGTCACGCATCTGATGGTCCAGGTAAGCGCTCCATCACTTTCGCTTCAGTTTTTGAAGTAGCGGAATATTACTGAGCATATTCTACTTTCCCACTTCAGAGTTTCAGATCCAGAAGCTTTCTCAATGTATTTATAACTGTCAGGGGAATCGAGAATATTCCTTTCCTGGGTTGGTACTAAGCCAACACTACAGCAGCTGTCATTACACAATGCAGAGAAGCAGCGGACCCTCCCTTCTCCGCTTCTAGTTTCCGTAACACTGAAGTACGGTCCGCGGCGCCGGAGGATGACGTACTTCCGGCGCGCTGCTCAGGCGGGTCGCCGAGGAGGCGGGCGTAAGGGGAGGGCGGGGCGTTGCTGAGGGCGACCGGCCG